GGTATGATGGAATTCGCAAGAGAAATAGTGGTGCCAACAACTTCTGATACAACTTTGAATACGTCAAGTCATCAAAGACGTTTGAGAGAAATATTTCCGGTAATATTTATTATTGACGGTTTAAAGTTGTATATAAATACACACACACACACATATACATGTATTTAATCTTTTTTATACAGGGTGCAATAGGTGCTCTAGACGGTACCCTTGTACATGCAATTGTGCCAGCTAGTCATCAAACTGCTTACAGGGGAAGAGGAGGCGGTCGATGCTATCAAAATGTTCTAGGAATTTGTGATTTCAACATGATATTCACTTTTGTTTGGGCTGGATGGGAAGGTATAGCGCATGATTCTAGAATACTTAGGGAAGTTGCTTTTAACCCAAGATCCGGTTTTCCCTTTCCACCACAAGGTATAAACCATTCTGAATTTGTAATTTGTTTTTTTATTTCTATATTATACGATTGATGCGGGTGGTTTTTCAGATAAATATTATCTTTGTGATGCTGCGTATGCCAATGCTCGTGGATTTTTGGCTCCATATCGTAACACAAGGTATTGGTTGGCAGATTTTCGACGTCGACGCGCTTTGACTAAAGAAGAAAGGTTTAATCATGCACATGCCCAACTCAGAAATGTTATTGAACGCGCTTACGGTGTCTTGAAAGCAAGATTTCCGATCTTAAAGCAGATGGCTCCCTTTCCATTTACAACACAAAGAAATGTGGTAATTGCTTGCTTTGCAATACATAATTTCATCAGAAAATATAATATTCAAGATCAGTTGTTTATGGAGTGCAATGAGGATAGTATATTTAACAACGAAGAAGAAGTCGAAGGAAACGGAGAAGAAGAACTGGACATTTCCAAGTGGGGTGCTAATAGCACTCAATATATAGCTACTTTGAGAGATAGAATTGCAAATAGTTTGGGCAATAATGTTTGAACTTGGACTTTTGTGTTTGAACTTGAATATGAACTTGGCTACTTTGTGTTTGAACTTGGATTTTTAAGTATTTTATGAATTTATGTTTTAATTTTGGATGATATAAATGAATTTATAAATTTATGTTTTGATATTTAAATATTTTATTTTTCAGAAATATCATTTGCCTTAAAAACTGAACAACGGTTTACTAAACAGCCCATAGTTAATCCTCAGGGGTAAATTGGTCATTTATGTTATTCAGACTGTTGATTCAGACAGAAAAGTAAACAGCAACATAAATTTATCCAGACAGTCAAATTTATCCAGACAGACAAATTTATCCATACAGAACTTAATAGAAAATTTGGTAAACAGCCCCTAAGATCAGTAAACCGTATCCACATGATCACTCCAATCAAAACCAATTTGCGACCCATTACGACAAAATAGCTTTATAGGACGCGAAATATGTCTAGATGTTCTAATAGACTGTTTTATACGACTTAATTTTATAAGACCAAACAATAGTGCATCCTACAATAAGCTAATAGGGCGTTTTTGGACGTCCTAACAAGTTTTTTRGATAACTTTTGAAACAAATCATCTTATCAGTCCATTTATATTTCGTTATGTGAAAAATGTTTTATAGAARTYAGTGTCCTGTAAAGAATGTGTTCCTAGTACACTTCTCAAAAGCGTCCTGTAAAAAAGTTGACATACCGTTTTATTTAAATAATGTCATAAATGAACTTCTTAAGCGTCCTATCAATTTAATGCAACACATCTACATGGGTTGCATATATACGCCAGGGGAAGACCTATGAAGACCCGAGCAGGGTCCCATGCACCCGCTCAACCGAATTTCGCAAGTTTCGGCAAAAAAGGTGCACCCACTAAACTTTTGAGGGGTGCTCCGGGTTATTAGAAAATTCAAGGAAAATCAACAAAAAGGCCAAAAAATTCCCTCGAAATCAACCAAAAACCTGAAAAAGTCTCGAAATCAACTAAAAACTTAAGAAAACCCTCAARGCGTAGGAATTCGGCTAAAAACACAWTGGCAATTTTGCGGGTCTTTKATCCACCTTAAAGGTGCACCCGCTCAGCAAATATACAWTGTCCGCTGCTGGMCTACGCACAATTGTTTAATCCTATAAACTTAAGTCCTATACAGCAATATTTAGATATATCTGGCGTCCTATGAAGTCGATTTTGTTGTAGTGATTACATAATTCTAAGGATCAGAAGAGAACCTGAGTTGATAACACAGATAATGCTGCACTGGAGAAATGTTGTAATGCTCGAAACTGTGTGTATCTAAGATATCCTTCATTAACACTGCAATGGATTCATTTTCATAAGCAATGGCAATTCAATTAACATTCTACAGACTAYAGACAGAGAAATCGATATGAAACTGTTTGATGAAMTCACCTATATGGATAACCAGATGGCAAAAAGGTATTAACCAAAGATTCAGCAAATTTATGGACAATTGAATTGGTCTTGAATCATTAAGCACCTTCACCTAAAGCAATTGATGCGATTATAGCAAATTAAGAATAACCCTCAAATTGA